TAAGCTGAGCTTGTGACATGAGTGATACCTAGCTTTGATAACGCTTCCTGGAAGCGAGGGCTCGTAAAGTTACTACATTGGTCGGTTTGAATGATTCTGGGTAGACCGAACGTGATAAAGAATCTAGTCATGGCTTTGACTACTTTGAGTACTTGCCTTTATGTTCCTCAGAGGGAACGCTTCAGGAAAACGGGTGCTCGAGCACATGATGGTGAGTAAGTACTCGTTACCCGCCTTTATCTTTGGCAGAGGACCGACGCAATCCATGATGATTTTGTCAAATGGTTCTTCCAACATTGGAATTGGGTGTAACGGGGCTTTTGGGATACCTTGGTTAGGCTTTCCGGCAAGTTGACAGTTTATACATGTTTTGCAGTAGCGGGATACGTCATTCCGCATCTTTGGCCAGAAGAACAGTTCTCTGATCTTCGCTAATGTCTTCTTTACCCCTAAGTGTGCAGACATCAGGTTGTCATGTGCTAACTTGAGGATTTCTTGACGATATGGAGGAGGTACCCATAGTTGTTTTTTCTACCACCATGGTTCAGCAGGTGAAGCAGTAGATCTTAGAAAACGACAAATGCTGGAACATATTCAGGATTGGGTACAGGATCACACAATGAAGATGTGGATTTGAGTGGATCTGGAACTGTGGCAGCCAACAGCTTCGTGTGACTACACACGCAGGATACAGTTCATTGTCTTCATCTGGACAGGTAGACAAAGGGTTCTGGGCTTTCTGAGAAACATTTTTACCTCGGCTAGATCATTGCCGAGAATTAAATGTACTCCTGGGACTGGAATACAGTCTATCACACACAGGATAACTTCTCCGTGGATAAGTTGGTGTGATAGATGGAATTTATGTAGAGGGATCAAAGTGGGCTCAGACCCCACGCCTTGAATAATGGTTACATTTCCGGTGTCTGTTTCCGGCGAAATGACCATCGAGTCCTTCAATAGAAGCGACTGTGAAGCCCCTGTGTCTCGCAAGACAACAATCTTCCGCTTAGATGATGGATGACCAAGGATATTTATTTCAGCATCAGCCATGAAAGACGAAAGCCAACCCTTTTCTGTACCCGAAAATCGGTTGCCTCTGAAGTAACTGGACGGTGGAGTGGGTAGTCAAACGATGACTGAACGTAGGTGGTAGAAGATTCATTCCTATCCTGTGGTCACTCAGGAATAGTGTCATCCCGATCAATAGTGTTCAACTGTGAACTTGCAGCTTGAGGGAGAAAGCATTAAGCGCTGGTGTGCACACAAACTCTCTGTTGTCTCGCTGTCTCTGGGACCAAAGATAACAATTCTTTATGTAGTGGCCAGGTTTCTTGCAGTATCTGCATACCACTGGTTGACTGGCTGGGTATCTTGGCCTCCCTAGGGACTGGGGAGACTTCTGGAATTGGCCAACAGGAGGACTGTTGCCAACGAGGGGAACTACTGGGTTGAGCCGATTGCTGGACACTGGTGGTTTCTTGTGGACCAGAGTATAGATGTCCGCCGACTCTGCAGCTTTCTTAATGTCAGATATTCTAGAGTCTAGGATATGTAGACGAACTTCTTCGGGATGGGAATTGAGGAATTTTTCTCGCAGTATCAGAGATTTGAGTTGTTCAAACTCTGAAATCTTCCGAATGGAGCCACCTGGTTAAAACGTTCTCCTTTTCAAACAAAAACTCCACATATGACTGACTAGGCTGCTTCCTGAGCTTCCGGAATTTCTGCCTAAACTCGTAAGCTTTTAGGATAGTAGCTTTGACTAGCCAATAATTGCCTTGGACATCCCGAGAGAGAGCATTATATACACTAGCAACTTTCCCTGTTAGTACTGTTCTCAGTAAGGTTGAGATAGAACTCTCAGGCCATGCATACGACTTAGCTAAATTCTCAAAAGAATTAAAAAATACAACCAGATCTACCTCATTAAACTTCGGGACTAGCTTTCCGAACTTAGCAATCACTTGACTACTAGCTTTTCTAACTCTTCAACCGTAGGGTTAGAAAGAAGCGACTCCATCTTTTATCAAAACTACACAGTCTAAACTCTAAACTGCACACAATATAGATCTAGTTAAACACCCCTACTGAAATGAAATCGTCCGACAGGAACACGGTCGATAACTCTCCTTGACCTAGATCTAAATGTGGGCGGGTGAATGGATGATTTATTTTGTATTATTTTATTGTGTGCGAATCTGTGCGTGAATGGTCTACTGGACAGCGGCTACGGGGCTTCCCCTTAAGCCTGAGCAGGTATAAAGGCCGACTGACCGCTCGGAATCTTTCTCTTGACCCGAGGCTATAATGTAGGTCGGGTCAGTTTTCTGTGGGTGCACCTTGTGCGTTGAGGTATTTGTTATTGAGAGTGTCTATTGGTACTTCACTACAAATAGCCCTCAGAGGGCTATTCATACTTCGCTATTTTTAGCCGACCAATCAAATTTATTTTTAAATTCATTGTCCTGCAGTCTGTGTATGAGATTCAAATGTTGTAACTTATCGTAACTGTTCCGGTGGTCGAAGTGGTTGCGCATTGGCTTATTAGTGACATGGGTTCGATTCCCGTGGCCCAGAGTTTCTTTTTCTGTTTTTTTTTTGCGTTTTTTTAAAAAAAATTCTTAAGGTTTAGGGTTTAGCATTAGGGTTAAGGTTAAGGTCAGGGTTAGGGTTAGGGTTAGGGTTAGGCATAGGGTTAGGCATAGGGTTAGGGTTAGGGTTAGGGTTAGGGCTAGGGTTATGGTTAGGGTTAGGGTTAGGATTAGGGTGAGGGAGATCTAAAAATAATTAGTTCTAGATCTATACAGCTTGTAAAAGATGAAAAAGGGAATTCAAGAATAAAAAAACATGACGCAAGCTGATTGGTCAGAGTACGAATAGTCTTCATAGGGCTATTTGTAGTTAAGTACGAATAGCCGCAGCCTTGTTATTTTACTTTTATATGTTTGGTTTGTATAAATACGGCTGCCGATGTGTTTCTCGTTTTATTTATTTTTCGACTAAAACGAGATATTGGGTTTCGGCAGGTCTGTTACAAACGTGGTGTATTCTTTTTGTTGGTTTAAAATGTATTTTGGTATATTCTAAACCCTTTGGCGTGTGTTGTGGACCACGTGGTTTAGATCGTTATGTCTAGGAGGTTTTCTAAACTGGTGCGAATTTGTGTGTATAATTTACTTGATAAATTTACTTTATTATTTTGTGCATATATTTTACATGCATTTTACTTATGTTTTCCTATTCTTTTCTCTCCCCCCCCCCTTCCAGTGAGGTTGCTTGTGCAACTTGGCTGGGTGTTTTGTATATATTGTTTTGTATATATTGTTTTGTACGTAATGTTTTGTCCGTAATGTTTTGTACGTAGTGGTTGTACATACTGTTTTGTTTGGTGTGGACCTTTTGGATGTCGAGAACGGATGAAGGGAGGTTTCTGTGTGTCAGAGCCTGGACCATCCTAGACATCATAAGTCGGTGCAACACCATCAAATAGTCGAACGTAATATTTTGTATATATTGTTTTTTCACGTTAAAGTCTGTTTTGTTTAGTCGTGTCTGCAGTTTTTTTAATCTATTCTTTTTTTTTTTTACAATTTTATGATTGGTACCATTTAATAAATGTGATAAATTATTAACGGTTTTTTCTTGTTTTTATTTAGACTAAGGTTAAGGTTATTACCAGTCTGGGTTTAGCCGGATTTGCACTGACCGGACAGTAGTTAGATGAGCCTAGAAGGGTAGATTTTAGTTATCCCCCCTAGCAGGGCTTATATAAATAAAATGGATATATATATATATATATATATATATATATATATATATATATATATATATATATATATATATATATATATATCAAACAACTGCTGCCTTGTAGTTTGTTCTTGGTTGGACAAAGACTGTGGAAGCGTATCCAAAAAGAAAAATGGCCTCCATGGCGCATAATCACTGGATACGTATACTCAATTGTATTGGAGGGGATCCCTTCCAACACTAAAACTAAGAACGAAGAAGAAGAAGAAGAAGAAGAAGAGTTAAACAGATATACTTTATTTAATCAAGTTTCTGTTAGATTTGCATTCAACTCAATTTTTTCGATTATTCTTTCAATATTTGGATAGAAATATTTAATTAAATGTTTTTAAAATAAAACCACGTCAACAGATACATTTAAGAAGAGTTTAAAAAATATACTTTTTTAAAATCAAGTATCTATTAGTTTTGCATTCAATTCAAATTTTTCAATTATTAAGTCAATATTTGGAAAGAAATATTTAATTAAATGTTTTCAAAATAAAACCATGTCAACAGATACATTTTTAAAAAAATTGACAAGTTTGCTATTCAGTCCATAACCGATCACAATTCTTGTAACAAGATACATAATTTTAAAAAGTAAAAGATTTAAAATTGAAAACACTAAAAGTAAGTCAAATATCATTTATAAAAATATTTAATTTAATTTTCTTAACGAAGACACATTTTTATTTAAAGTAAAATGTTTTTAAATTTAAAAAATCAGACATCTATCGCCTTAATAAATTATTTCTTAAAATGTATTTTTAAAAGTTGGCACACATATTTTCCTGTAAAAACCATAAGAATTAAAAAAACAAATTCCCTTGACCAGATATCGCTAATTTAAGTAATTAATTTATGGTTTCTAGAAAGATGATATTCATTTTAACAAGAATAAAGGTTGAAATTAGATGATGATTTTTTTTAAAATATAAAATGTTTACAAGCTTTTAAGCGTTTAAAAAATTGGTGTATAAATAAATGTAAAAACAAGGTTAAAAAATTCAAGATAAAAGTTAACACACACACACACACAAATATACACATATAAACACATAAACACACGCACGCACATACACCGACACTTATCTTTAAACATGTATATATATATATATATATATATATATATATATATATATATATATATATATATATATATATATATATATATATATATATACATCAATTGGAAAAATTGGTGTACGAGCTCAGGGTAATCTTACAGCGCAAAAGGCCAGTGTAAGTAACATCATTTCCAGTAGAACGTCTGTTTCGAAAAATATAATAAAATTCTGGTTTATATTGTAATTCGCAAATTAAGTAACATACAAATATAGGTACAAAACACACATAAACACACACGCACGCAATACACATATATCTATCTTTTAACATACACACACGGACACACATACACATATGAGCTCAGGATAATCTTACAGCACAAAAAAAAACAGTTTAAGTATAATTATTTCCAGCAGAAAGTCTGTGTTGGAAACATAATAACACTCTGGTTTGATTGTATTTCTCAAATGAATAGCTTGTGTAAATATAGGGGGAAAAAAAGTTTGGACAAACTTGGCTTTGCAATTTTGTGTTTATATCTGAGTGTGTGTAAACGATATAGCACTTGAGTAGCGTTTCATTAGGATTAGAAAAATATCATTTACTAGTATAATATCAAATTGGTAATTTTTAAATTAATTTTTAAGCAATTACCAAAAATTTTAATACATATTTATACGATCTAAATCGCTTGATTCTTCCATTTTTTGGTTGATTTCCGGTGAATAGAAATAATACTTTTCGCTATTTTTTAATTTAGCAAAAAAAAAAAAAATTCACTTCTACCAGATCGATTTCTGTCAAACTTTTCACGTTGATAAAGAATCGATTCACTGTGACAAAAATGTGACTTAATTAAATGTTTCATTAACTTTTTAAAACGGAATCAATATTTTCTTCAGTATTATTTTCAGAGGCGTAGCTAGTGGGGGGCGGGGGTTGCGGTCCACACCGGGTGACACCATTTAAGGGGGTGACACCAAGGCAAAAAATAGCAAAATATATACAGAAAAATGATAATTTCACTTAATTAAATGATTAATTAAAGTGAATAAATAGTCTTTTAAGAGAAAAGCGGACAAATCCCGACACGGGTGGAGGAGGGGAGGTAGGGGTGACACTATGACGTAAACCTGCTAATGATAAAGAAAATATGCAACATCCAGCTTAATTTAATACCGAATATAGTTACAAATAGTTAGTATTATCTGAGCACAGTTTAAAGCTATCACCGTGGGGGCGACGAAAGGGGAGAAGTTACATCAACTCAACGTTGCAATATATATACCTGAGAAAAACGTTTGGTTGAGAATCGTAATAAGATATATGTTAATCCATGTATGGGGTATATATATATATATATATATATATATATATATATATATATATATATATATATATATATATATATATATATTTTTTTTTTTTTCTTACGGGGGGGGGGGTGTCAGCATGACAACATCAGGTGCCGCACGGGTTGACACCCGACCTCGCTACGCCACTGATTATTTTAATTATTTGTTTGCGTTCATTTGTTGCACATTTTTTTCTACTAAATTCTATTCCTTAGAAATAATTAAGTTTAAAAAAAATTAACAGCAACAACAAATAAACCGGGTGTGATCTCCCCTAAACTTTCTCGAATGTTCTAATATAACACTACGTGGGATGGCAACTCGGAATATAGACATGATTTTTGTTTACTAAAACTTTTAAAAATAGAAGATACATCCCCCGTAGTGCTATTTAGAATATACCAGAGAGTTTAGGGGAGACTATTCCCGCTTCATTTGAAATGTAAGCAATTGGCCTCGTTGGTAACAATATATTTTAAACGTGGGGGGGGGGGAGTGGACTGTAATTACTGGTGAGACAAAAGGACAGCATGGGAATATGACATCACACCAAACACGAATTGCTGTCATGGGAATAGGACATCACACCAAACACGAATTGCTGTCATGGGAATATGACATCACACCAAACACGAATTGCTGTCATGGGAATAGGATACAACACCAAACATGACAATTGCTTTCATGGGAATAGGACATCACACAAAACATGACAATTGCTGTCATGGGAATAGGACATCACACCTAACAGGAATTGATGTCATGGGAATACGACATCACACTAAACACGAATTGCTGTCATGGGAATAGGACATCACGCCAAACAAGAGTTGCTGTCCTGGGAATAGGACATCACACCAAACAAGAGTTGCTGTCATGGGAATAGGACATCACACCAAACACGAATTGCTGTCATGGGAATAGGACATCACACCAAACACGAATTGCTGTCATGGGAATAGGACATCACACCAAACATGACAATTGCTTTCATGGGAATAGGACATCACACAAAACATGACAATTGCTGTCATGGGAATAGGACATCACACCTAACAGGAATTGATGTCATGGGAATACGACATCACACTAAACACGAATTGCTGTCACGGGACTAGGACATCACACCAAACACGATAATTGCTGTCATGGGAATAGGACAAAAAACCAAAAACAAATTGCTGGCATGGGAATAGGACATCACACCAAACACGAATTGCTGTCAAGGGAATAGGACATCACACCAAAAACGAATTGCTGTCATGGGGATAGGAAATCACACCAAACACGAATTGCTGTCATGGGAATAGGACATCACACCAAACACGAAGTGCTGTCATGGGAATAGGACATCACACCAAACACGAATTGCTGTCATGGGAATAGGACATCACACCATACACGAATTGCTGTCATGGGAATAGGACATCACACCAAACACGAATTGCTGTCATGGGAATAGGACATCACACCAAACATGACAATTGCTGTCATAGGAATAGGACATTACACCAAACACGAACTGCTGTGATGGGAATAGGACATCACACCATACACGAATTGCTGTCATGGGAATAGGACATCACACCAAACACGAATTGCTGTCATGGGAATAGGACATCACACCATACACGAATTGCTGTCATGGGAATAGGACATCACACCAAACACGAATTTCTGTCATGGGAATAGGACATCACACCATACACGAATTGCTGTCATGGGAATAGGACATCACACCAAACATGACAATTGCTGTCATAGGAATAGGACATTACACCAAACACGAATTGCTTTCATGGGAATAGGACATCACACCAAACACGAATTGCTGTCATGGGAATAGGACATCACACCAAACATGACAATTGCTGTCATGGGAATAGGACATCACACCAAACACGAATTGCTGTCATGTGAATAGGACATCACACCATACACGAACTGCTGTGATGGGAATAGGATATCACACCAAACATGACAATTGCTGTCATAGGAATAGGACATTACACCAAACACGAACTGCTGTGATGGGAATAGGATATCACACCAAACACGAATTGCTGTCATGGGAATAGGACATCACACCAAACACGAATTGCTGACATAGGAATAGGACATCACACCAAACATGACAATTGCTGTCATGGGAATAGGACATCACACCAAACACGAATTGCTGTCATGGGAATAGGACATCACACCAAACACGAATTGCTGACATAGGAATAGGACATCACACCAAACATGACAATTGCTGTCATGGGAATAGGACATCACACCAAACACGAATTGCTGACATAGGAATAGGACATCACACCAAACATGACAATTGCTGTCATGGGAATAGGACATCACACCAAACACGAATTGCTGACATAGGAATAGGACATCACACCAAACACGAACTGCTTTCATGGGAATAGGACATCACACCAAACACGAATTGCTGACATAGGAATAGGACATCACACCAAACATGACAATTGCTGTCATGGGAATAGGACATCACACCAAACATGACAATTGCTGTCATGGGAATAGGACATCACACCAAACATGACAATTGCTGTCATGGGAATAGGACATCACACCAAACATGACAATTGCTGTCATGGGAATAGGACATCACACCAAACATGACAATTGCTGTCATAGGAATAGGACATTACACCAAACACGAACTGCTGTGATGGGAATAGGACATCACACCAAACACGAATTGCTGTCCTGGGAATAGGACATCACACCAAACACGAATTGCTGTCATGGGAATAGGACATCACACCAAACACGAATTGCTGTCATGGGAATAGGACATCACACCAAACACGAATTGCTGTCATGGGAATAGGACATCACACCATACACGAATTGCTGTCATGGGAATAGGACATCACACCAAACACGAATTGCTGTCATGGGAATAGGACATCACACCAAACATGACAATTGCTGTCATAGGAATAGGACATTACACCAAACACGAACTGCTGTGATGGGAATAGGACATCACACCATACACGAATTGCTGTCATGGGAATAGGACATCACACCAAACACGAATTGCTGTCATGGGAATAGGACATCACACCATACACGAATTGCTGTCATGGGAATAGGACATTACACCAAACACGAATTGCTTTCATGGGAATAGGACATCACACCAAACACGAATTGCTGTCATGGGAATAGGACATCACACCAAACATGACAATTGCTGTCATGGGAATAGGACATCACACCATACACGAACTGCTGTGATGGGAATAGGATATCACACCAAACATGACAATTGCTGTCATAGGAATAGGACATTACACCAAACACGAACTGCTGTGATGGGAATAGGATATCACACCAAACACGAATTGCTGTCATGGGAATAGGACATCACACCAAACACGAATTGCTGTCATGGGAATAGGACACAACACCAAACACGAATTGCTGTCATGGGAATAGGACATCACACCAAACACGAATTGTTGTCATAGGAATAGGACATCACACCAAACATGACAATTGCTGTCATGGGAATAGGACATCACACCAAACACGAATTGCTGTCCTGGGAATAGGACATCACACCAAACACGAATTGCTGTCATGGGAATAGGACATCACACCAAACACGAATTGCTGTCATGGGAATAGGACATCACACCAAACACGAATTGCTGTCATGGGAATAGGACATCACACCAAACATGACAATTCAAAGTTGAAAAAAAAAATTGTCAGTTAGAAGTGTCCGAAATTTCGCTCGGGCGTTTTGATCTAGACTGACGACAGAGGAAGTGAGTTAAATAATAGCTTGTAAAAACGGCTTAAACTAATCCTAAACCTAAAACAGCTCTAATACAAACGCAAGCCTCAACCATGACTCAAACCTTACACACAGCCCCAAAGCCAACGCTAATCTTAACCCTAACCTAGTAAAACAGACAGTTATAAGCAAAAACAAACCACAATCCGAACTCTAACACTACATACAGTTCTAAGCTAACGTTAGCTTAAGCGTAAACCTAACACTACAACTGTTCCAATCTAATCTTATCTCTAACTTTAGAAACAGCTCTGAACTAAACATGACCCTAGAAAAAACCATACAAAGTTAAACTTGCTCTAACCGTAACCATATTGATTGAACCAGAGTTTCTTCCAAGCATCTCTTCGGGGGGTGGGGGGGGGGCAAAGACCCCCGAAAAATTCTACCGCCTCCCTCCCCCCCCCCTCTAACGAAATGAAACTTATATTAATTTATATAGAAAATATATACTTTTAACAGTGTCCGCCCCCCCCCCCCCCCCGAAGAAAGTTTACCGCCCCTCCCCCCCTCGAAGATTTCAAGTGCCCCCCCCCCCCCCCGGAGAAAAAAGTCTGGAAGAAACACTGGATTGAACTATGGCTGTTAAAGAAAGCAGCTAAATATGCTGGTATAAGGAAAAGTATGGAAAGTTAAGTACGTACCTGGACTCAAGAACCCAGATCCGCTAGTGGATTTGAAAATACCAAATACCGGAGGGCGCCTTAAGACAATATGGCCACGCTCTTTACATAAAAGAATATACATTATATTATATATATATTTTCACACACACACACATACACGCAAGCACGCACGCACGCACAGACAGACAGACAGACAGACAGACAGACAGACAGGCGTAGGCGTAAACACAAACACAGACACAGACACAGACACCAACACCAACACCAACACCAACACCAACACAACCACAACCACAACCACAACCACAAACACAAACACAAACATAAACATAAACATAAACATAAACATAAACATAAACATAAACATAAACATAAACATAAACATAAACATAAACATAAACATAAACATAAACATAAACATAAACATAAACATAAACATAAACATAAACATAAACATAAACATAAACATAAACATAAACATAAACATAAACATAAACATAAACATAAACATAAACATAAACATAAACATAAACATAAACATAAACATAAACATAAACATAAACATAAACATATCATTTGAGATATCATTTTTTACTTTTTTACTGTCTGATTTTGAACCCTTTTAACTGCCAGCCCCCCCCCCCCCCCACCCGCACACAAACACACACACACACAAACATTTAGATCCTCCACTGAATTATCACAGTCATTCATCACGCACATTCACTTAAATTCTGGCACTAAAACACGCGAAACGTTTGGAAAGGAGATGGTCACTGACGGAGCCGAGCTAGGGATTTCCATTAACATTGACCTACCGATAAGCTCGGGTATAAATAAACTGTTGTTCCTTTCAAACGGAGCCCTGTCCGCGTGAGTATCAATCCGAGGAGCCGGGTCAAAAACAAACCGAAACGCCGTGTCTTCCCGTTTGAACCAGTGGCTGCGAATAAGTGCATACCAGCGTTTAGGGGTGCTGTCATCGCACCAACAGTCTTGATTGTACTTTCTTCTTGTTGCGTTGCATCCTCTCGAAAATTCATCAAAATAAGCGCACTGCTATAAATATAGATGTGAAACATTTCATTACTTTCTCGTATACAGAGTATAGAGAAAGTATTGTAATCGAGCAAAAAAAAATCAAGATTTTTCAAATCTCGACGTTTTAAACCTCCATGAGTCGGAAAAAAAACATAGTTTTGCAATCTTGTCTGTATGTCTCTCTGTATGTGTATGTGTGTATGTGTGTATGCGTGTGTATGTGTGTCTGCAAACACGATAACTTGAGTACACTTACGGCTAGGTTGATGAAATTTTGTATACAAGTGTTATAACAAATTTGTAGTTCTGTATCAACTTTTGAGCTATTTCCGATAAGCGGAAGTGGAACGTATTCAACTATCAATTTTTCAAAAGCATATAACTTGAGTACTGTTTCAGACCGATAAATGAAATATATCTCATATTTAAAAAAAAAACCGGAAGTGATCTCCCCTAAACTTTCTTGAATATTCTTATATAACACTACGGGGGATCGCAACTCGGGATATAGACATGCTATTTAAGCCATTTTAAATTGCTTACACTTTTTAAAATAGAATAGAATCTTGTAGATAAAAGAATCGCGCACAAAGTGAACACCAAACTATATGTGTATAATACTGCAGAATATTGTTAGTCTAATTTATTTTTATTTTTTTGTGATTAAGAAAATATAAATTCAAACGGACACATGTATATGCCGAGAAAATTCAATTCTGTATATAGAGGGGGACTGCGGATTCAAAAAAGATATACGAAAAAATTGACTTCGTCGTCATAGTGTTGTGCGTCTAAAGTGCTCATCGTCTAAATTAATGATTTTAAAAATTAATATTAAAGGTGTTGTAAAACAATTCTCATTTTTTCAAACTTATAGTGATAATTGCCGGCATGTCCATCAAACAAATTGTTTAGGAAATGTATCACCTCTCATAAAAATTCTAATTGTGCCTAAAATTATTTAGATTTTGTTCATTAGCATTCATTACATCCCTTGATAAATTAGGAAAACACAATTACTTTCCTATATAAAAAAAACATTACAACGGGAAGGGGGGGGGGGGGGTTAGTTTTTATCACTTTCTCTTGGTTTTGGGAGAAAAAAATAATTAGCGTGGATTGATCAAGTGCAATGTGGTAGGTATTTTAAATATTGCCTTACATTTATTTTATAAACTGAACGTACTGTTTGCTAATTATTAAATTTGATTTTAATTATTTGAGAACGGGAATTCCAGCAGTTTATTATTTGTGTCTTATTTTGCGCACACAGTGGATAGTGGAATTCGTTGTGTCTTTTTTGGCGCACTAAGGGGAATTTGTTTTTGATGAACGTTTTCTTTTTTTTTTTACCTCACCATAGTGCATACCTTTTTACTTTCTCGTATATACGAAGTATAGAGAAAGTTTTGTAATCGTGCAAAAAAAAAAAAATCGAGATTTTTGCAAATCTCGACGTTTTACATCTCACTGATACGGAAAAACATAATTTTGCAATCTTGTCCGTATGTCTGTGTGTCCGTGTGTGTGTGTGTGTGTGTGTGTCCGTGTGTAAACACGATAACTTGAGTACCGTTACAGCTAGGTTGATGAAATTTCATATACAAGTATTATATCAAAATCGTAGATCCGTATCAACTTTTGAGCGATTTCGGATAACCGGAAGTGGTACTTTTTCTACTTTGAATTTTTCAAAAGCCTATAACTTGAGTACTATTTCAGATAGATAAATGAAATTTCACATGTAAGTAAAAGATCTAATTCTCTACCTTCTGTTAAATTTTGAGTAATTTCCGTTGACCGGAAGTAGTACTTTACGCTACTTCCGATTTCTCAAAAAACTAATGTAAATTTATAAAGTACTAATACTATTGCGCACTATTATACACACCTTTATTAGGCGTTCGCTAGGTGCGCAATTGTTTTTTACTGAGATTCTATTCTATTTTTAAAAGTTTCAGTATTTAAAATGGATTAAAGATCATAACTATATCCCCAGTTACCATCCCCTGTTTATTTTATATAAGAATATTCGAGAAAGTTTAGGGGAGATCACTACCGGTTTATTTGGGTTTGTATTTGCGCTTGGATTTGGTTTGTTTTTGTTTGCTTTTTCATTTGCGTTTGTGTTTTCTTTGTGTTTGCGTTTGTGGTTGGGTTTGGGATTGGGTTTGCATTTGTGTTTGCGTTTGTATTATGTTTTTTAATTTTGGTTTTGGTTGGCTGTAGTTAGCGTGGGCAATGCCGGGTATATGCTGATTACTAAAGACACAAGTCATGGTCCTTTACAGATAGGTTTTTGACAAAGGCCAGTGGAAGGCCTGTCCGGGACAGCTAGCAATTTATAAATTCACATGCGTTTTTTTGAGAAATCGGATATAGCGTAAATTACTACTTCCGCTCTACGGCATTACTCAAAATTTGAGAGAAGGCAGAGAAGTAGATTGTTTTCTTAATTGTGAAAGTTCATTTATCTATCTGAAACAGTACTTAAGTTATAGGCTTTTGAAAAATTGAAAGTAGAATAAGTTCCACTTCCATTTACCTGAAACCGATGAAAAGTTGATACAGAGCTACGAATTTGATATAATACTTATATACTAAATTTCATCAACCTAGCTGTAACTGTTCTCAATTTATCGTGTTCACAGACACACATACACACACAAATACACACATACACACAGACTTACGGACACAATTGCAAAACTATGTTTTTCCGACTGAGGGATTTTTTTTTTGCACGATTAAAATACTTCCTCTATACTTTGTATTACTTTTATCCAAGAATATTTGAGAAAGTTTAGCGGAGATCAAACCCGCTTTTTACAAAAAATAGAATCCTAATATATAAAATACCACGTGTGCACTCCTCTCTCTCTCTCTCTCTCTCTCTCTCTCTCTCTCTCTCTCTGTGTGTGTGCAACATTTCTGAGGTTATGTGATCAGTAAATTCAGCAATATATGGAGAGCATAAAGTTACTGACTTTTGTTGTAAATAATATGGTTTATGTTTTAAATGTATAAACTGATTTTTATTTAAAGAAGTAAAATAAAAATAAAGGCATATTCCAATGTAGAAACGCATTTTAATTATGCAACCGGAAAAGTGTTTATTGTTTTGACAAAAACGCAATAAACAATAACGTCACATGCCAATGTTTTAGCTACAGAAAGAACACAAAACTAATGGCGTCATCTTCCAATTTTAAAATATGAAGAAATGAACTATTTCATTCAAATTCGATCCAGATCTATAGATCTACGTATTAAGACGTACGCTAGGAAATGTAAACAGTTTTCTCGTCCAAAATTACTTCAATAAACAACATAAATACCATTGAAAAGTCTTGTTTTTAACGGAATCATTTAACTTTTTTAATCAGTATGTGCATTTACTATGGTGTTGTGTTGACTAATAATTTATATAATTTGGTTTTTCTAATATGTATTGGTAGCCTATGTTATTTTAAATGTATCGTATTTTTAGCTATTTAGTTATTGCTTTGCTTTGTCACTAATATCGTTGAACGTGTAGTAAAGCACATTGCGTTATGACCATATCTGTTTTATAAATATTTTCCTCAAAATTCCATTATTCCAGTGGTATTTATTCTAGGTTCGATTGAACCAAAGTGTTCGATGAGTCAGTTTCAGGTTTTTGGCGAAAGTAAATACACACGTCCAGCTCTATGATTTGCGATCGAATTTCGACATCATACTTGAAGCTTTACGGTAATTATTCGATTTAATGTATCTTTCATTCCGTAAAGCACGCGTCAAATAATTACCTGGTAATCAACAATTTAGGAAATATTACCAATACGATTTTGGCTGAGGTTTATGTCAGGTAGAAGCGAAAAGTAAAGTTTGAATAAACATTTTCATTCCAAAAATTAGAAATAAATTGATACTTGGATTTAGCTTTTTGAAATAACTTTTGTAAAGATTTATGTTTAATGTTACGTTGGATTATGTGAATCGGATCAAATTTGATCAATTAAATTCTTTAAAAAAATAAAAGCATTTCCTTATAACAAAAATTATTAAAAAATTATCGAAAGGAAATAAAAACAATTTTTACATACCAGATACCAATCCCGTTTATATTCTGAACACTTATCATCCTCTGGATAACCACAACGTTCGACGTAAAATCGCCCAGTATTTAACAGATAAAGCCTTTCTTTTGGGACGTGCATGGTGCCGTAGATAAGGAGATCATCTGTCTTAAACAAGACACAACCGGGACACCGTGGTACATAGCCGTCTATGGTTGCTATCATGCCGTTTTCGTTGAGATATTCTTGCGAGGTGGGTAGCAGATGTACATCTTGAACCAAGTCTATTATTTTATAAGAGTCATGTATTAGGCCACAACTTTAACAAGTCGATGGTACAAAGAATTGATTATTACTTTTGAATCAGGGTTAAGGTATAATGATACATTTGAATGCTTGGATAATTAAATCTTAGTCAAGAAAATGGACTAACAATGTTGCTAGCTGTGATTGTTTTCATCTCTCAATAAACAGGCATAATTAATTTAAAAAAAACATAACTATTTTGCTTATAACCTGTATTAAAAAAGTATTAAGAAACATCACAATATAAGAAATAAACCATTATACGTGTTCTTAAATGACATAGTGGATAGGGAATTCTGCAAACTTACTCTAATTTTAACAGATGTATTTTTAACAGATTATAATTTATTTGTCATACTTCAAACGGATTATAATTATATATTGATAATATGTATCTAATATTTATATTATATTATCGAGGATACTTTAGACTACAGTTTTGCTTCAAATGTTCTACAGGCAATTATAACTTTTACCACCTCAGTTCCTTCTTACCCTCATCAATTAAAACGTCCTGTTTTCTTTTTTTTTTTAGTGGAGATAGTTTCTCCAATTGTAACACATTGATTGTATATGTTTTCTAGCGTACCAGCCGCCACGTTGTTGCAAATTAGTCCTACTCAGGGTGATAAAACATTTTATAAAGGTTTCATCAACGCGTTACCAATCGTGTATTTTTAGGCGGAGTTATTAAAATATGGACTTAGCTTAGGAGTAGGAATGCATTATATATATATATATATATATATATATATATATATATATATATATATATATATATATATATACTTATTTATTTATTTATAATAGTATTTACCCATTAGAATAAAACACAGACTCAATATCAATAGTCTCCAATTCATTTTTTTCTGATGGTTCACACTTTTTGAAATAGGATCCTGAAAATTTATAAAGGTTCAATGTAGTTTAAGCGAAAAGGAGGAGGGGCCTCTTTTAATTATATAGTGGAGAAGAGCTTTGATACTATGTTATGTTGTATTAAGGGAAGCTGTATGATGCAAGTAATATACAATTACAAAAATACAGTTGTTCAATAGCTTCACTTTTAACCTAAAGATTAACAGGAGTTCATCGTTTGTTTTCGTTCAAAAAATGATTTGCTTGTAATAACACATTTATTTTAATGTACACCGAGTAGGTTAGGGCTCCAGATTTTCATAAAAAGGTGAATAGGTTAGGGCCTCACATTTTAGAGACAGCTCACTTGGTGAGACATCTACAACCAAGCGCGTAGCCAGGTGGCGGATTGGGAAGAGGTCCTTAGATATAAGGATTCGCTTTGAATACCAAAGTCGGAGTCAACGGACCATATCATATGGCGCATAACATGCCGACAGGCGCTGCTTAATTTTATGATGGAGGAAAGCAATAGAACTAATAGTTTGTTAGCTCCCTCTAATTCCACTGCAGGACAACAATGTTTTTTTGTTACTATATGGGCCTGTAGATTTAAACTTCAGGTCCTTGCCCATGGCTTCACAATCAAGGATAGAGGAGCCACCAGCTGGCTTTTGTGGGCTTCATCGTGACGGAATTTACAAATTAACATACAAAGAACAACTCATTATCTTCAGACTCAGAACAGGTCACCATAGACTGAAACAACACAATAATGTATAAAAAATAAACGTTGGTTCTAGCGAAACTTGCCCTTGTGGCATGGTCACGGAGAATACATTGCACGTCCTTCAGGACTACCCCTTGTACAACCAGGCGCTATCTAAACACTGGCCCCTATACACACCACTCAAGGAAAAACTATATGGGGTACCCAAAGATCTGGGTACCATAAAGTCGCACTTGTTTAAATCCTTCAAAGACAGATCAGTAGGTCAGGGCCCCACATTTTAAACTCAGAGCTCATTAGGTCAGGGCCTCACATTTAAAAGTCAGGGCTCAGTAGATCAGGGCCCTACAATTTATACAACGATCTTTATAGGACAGGCCCCACATTTTAAATAAAGAGCTCAGTAATTCAGGGCCCCACATTTAAAATAAAAAGCTCAGTAGGTCAGGGCCCAACATTTTAAATTCAGAGCTCAGTAGGTCAGGACCCCTTATTTTATACTCAAACTTAATTAGGTCAGGGTCCCACATTTTAAACTCAGAGCTCAGTAGGTCAGGACCCCAGATTATAAACTCAGAGCTCAGTAGATTAGGGACTCCAAATTTTAAATTCAGAAGGTTCACAGCTATTTATTTTGTTTTGGTTTATTAATTAACAACGATATGTATTGCTAGGTGGACAAGTAAGTTGTCTACAAGAAAGTCTCAAATCAGTAATTATTCATTATATTTAGTCATATTTTATTTTGACCAAGCAAAAAAAAAAGTAACTTATTTTTTTGGGTCATATTTTATATTGACCAAGACGACTATTTGAAGCGTTAACATACAACATATTACACTAACATATTACATGATAACGGTATAACGCTGTTAGAACCGTCTACACCGCTTCCTTAGTTAATCCAAACTTTAATTAAAGTTTGATATTTTTTTTTTTAAAGTCAAAAATGTTAATCTAGTTCTAGATCTAGATCTACATCTACTTCTAGATGAAGTCTATGTCTGTATCTATTTCTATATTCTATATTCATTGATACTAAATCTAAATCAGTGGTTCTGAACCTGGGTTAGATCGAACCCAGGGGTTCGTTGAGTCAATCTCAGGAGTTTGACGGAGATAAAGACATAGACACACTCATAATTTCCGGTCGGATTTCGCCTGTGCGGTCAATAGAAGCAGCGGCAGACCCCCATGGACATTTCCAAAACTCGACAGCGCGACATAGTAAGTGCGTCTGAGCGAGATAACACCAGAGTTTCTTTCAGAAAGTCTACCACCGCTTTCCCCCGCCCCCTCCAACGAAAGAGGCACATACGTCACTAATCGTGTCAGCGGCAAGTATACAGGCACGGGTATACATACTTGCTGTGATGAAAATAGATTCTTATTTCTATATCTTGCCCCAGTAATGAGCTTATAACTGTTGTGTTGGTCCGTCGTGTCAATATCATATTCTAATGGTTTTGTTCTTTGAACATAGTGATGATAAACTGTTCATTTTGAGCTAAAATATAAGCCTACCTGTGTTTTGAATGTGAAAAAAAACCAGATTTTTCTATAAGGTTCGGTAATGCGCACATAAAGCTGGTGGGATTTAGTAACTTCAAACAGGTTAAGTAGGCTACTTCTGATCTAGACCTAGATCTAAATCTAGATCTAGATCTACATCAAGGTTCTAGAGCTAGATAAGATAGTCTTTAAAAATATCAAGGCGATTTTACATTATAACCCAAATTAAATTAATTTTCATGGATAAGAATATCAGACTTACTTGATATACGTATACACTAGTTGTTTTTTTACTTTGATGTTAGAAATCTCTTCAAAGATTTCATTAAATTAAACCCAAGACTGCTTAGCGTTCCTAGCAGGATGTTGAATTACGTGTACACACACAACAAAGGGACGTAAGGTTGCCAACACTGAATATTAATGTGCAAACTCTCAAACAAAAGATCCAATCATTCGAAATTCATTTTAATTGTCATTAAAACAGTAGTTTTGTGTTTATAAAATTTAATTCCACGCCTTTCTACAGTACATCTATCTGTTCTTATTAATATTTTCGATGAGTAAACAAAAATTGCAAAATAATTTTCAAAATGTTATTTTTTCTTGTCGCTTGATAATGGAAATCAAACAAACTAGGCAATGCTGGTGTGTCAATTATAGGGAATTACCTAAAATGCGCGCCAAGTATTAGAGTCTAGTTGTTCACGTTTATTTTACAAGCTTTTTATTTTAATTGCTTCCTCCGGTGTGCTTTTATCAGTCGTCGATATTTGTCCGGGGTCGGATTAAGCTTGGGCTCAAATATTTTGGGGGCCCCTGATATATATATATATATATATATATATATATATATATATATATATATATATATATATATATACATATATTTATATATATAAATATATATATATATATATATATATATATATATATATATATATATATATATATATATATATATATATATATATATATAATCTGGTCTAGACTTATCATTAAGTATCCGTAGTTCCCTGTCTAGTTAACAACTAGTGGGATAGTGGGTAGGAGGGGGGGTGGGGGGTCCGGAGGAAATTAAAGTAATTTTGTTGATCGTGTGTTTTTATACTTTGCGTTTAGTGTTGTTGATGTAACCAATATAAAAAAGTTTCTAAATGGCGTGTTTCCAAGTGGTCATTGTACGCGTACCGAAACATCAATACCACAACAAAAATACGGTTAGGCCTCGCGGTAGGCCGCTAGAATGCTAACCCGAAAGTCTCGAGTTTGATTCCGGGTTTAAATCAATGGATGTTTTCTGAGTTCATTCTGTTTGGATGGCTGCCTAGCTGACTACACTATCCCTACATATGCCGAGGTCACAGAAACAGGTGACGTTTACTTTACTTTACTCTCGCAATAAGTTAGTTTTGTAGGCCCTATTGCTCAGACCATACTCGCAATAAGTTAATTTTGTAGGCACTATGGATCAGTACATACGCGCAATAAGTTAGTTTTGTAGGCCCTATTCATCAAACCATACGCGCAATAAGTTAGTTTTGTAGGCACTATGGATCAGTACATACGCGCAATAAGTTAGTTTTGTAGGCCCTTTTCATCAAACCATACGCGCAATAAGTTAGTTTTGTAGGTCCTATTAATCAAACCATACGCGCAATAAGTTAGTTTTGTAGGTCCTATTAATCAAACCATACGCGCAATAAGTTAGTTTTGTAGGTCCTATTCATCAAACCATACGCGCAATAAGCTAATAACACATTACTTTAACACAACGCATTTGAAAGATTTGATGAAGAAGACGCGAACCGCTTGTAAACCCATTACAATATAACAAAAATATTTTTCTTTAAACCAAATAAACTTCAATTAAATGTTCGAACAATATTGAATTATATCAACAGTGGAATACCTCTGCAGCAGCCATCTTTATGGCATAGGCGCGGTCAACTTTGATTGCTTGACAGAACAAGTAAGAATTTTTCAGAATTTGAGCCATAATATTTTTTCATTCTCCTACGGTAAAAATACAGAGCTACCTAATTTCTAACAGGACAGAATAAATTATTTTAACTTTAGAGCGCTAGTTGCAAGCAAAACATAACTTAGTATAAAGTCTGTCTGTTTTTATTACCAGCTGGCAATAGTCTTATATTGTTATAAAGGTAGTACTCAGTGATTTATTTACATTTATACATTTATTCCCTTCACTTATTGCATCATGTAGAGTCGTCGATGCTTTGATTAGATTGATTTGTCACACAGTTTTAGGAATAGATTTTTACTTTGATTTCAGATTATCAGCGAGTTTGTTTCGAAATCTTCGACGAAACTAGACCGGAGTTCCTTTAGAGGCGTTTACACTGGGTGAGTGGGAAACTGGGCGAGATGGTGTACATTGTGCTCCTGGGGAGCCGGGCATTTTTCCCAATGTGACTCAAGTCCAAATGTCAAATGTCTTTCGGGAAGTTGTCCATGAGACATTCCGTGTGAACTCTTAACTTGTAACAATAGTGAGCCATTCTTTTCTTAATGACGCGATAATCCACCCGATCAAACATTATTCTCAGCAAAGATAAACCGTCAGTAAAAATCTTGAATATCTATTAAAATATCCGTAGACTTAGCGTGTACGCCTTACAAACTAACATTTGTACAGTTAGGAGTTTATAAAAGGCATTTTAGAATAAATGTGGGACTGAAATACTATGTGGCAAGAGTGTCTAAATTCAAAATTACACAGTAAAACAGGTAGATTTAGTGACCGTATTCGACTGCGATTGTTTTGATAAAAAAA